TGACTGCATAAATTACATTAAAACAAGTTTTAATTTGTATTTAATACTGACCAGTAGTGATAAGTACTATCTAGTACTGACCAGTAGTGTTAAGTACTATCTAGTACAGACCAGTACTGTTAAGTACTACTTAATACTGACCAGTAGTGTTATACCAGGAGTGCTAAGTACTATATAATACTGACCATTAGTGTTAAGTACTATATAATACTGACCAGTAGTGCTATACCAGTAGTGCTAAGTACTATATAATACTGACCATTAGTGTTAAGTACTATATAATACTGACAAGTAGTGTTATACCAGTAGTGCTAAGTACTATATAATACTGACCATTAGTGTTAAGTACTATATAATACTGACCAGTAGTGTTAAGTACTACTTAATACTGACCAGTAGTGTTATACCAGTAGTGTTAAGTACTATCTAGTACTGACCAGTAGTATTATACCAATAGTGTTAAGTACTATATAATACTGACCAGTAGTGTTATACCAGTAGGGTTAAGTACTATCTAGTACTGACCAGTAGTATTATACCAATAGTGTTAAGTACTATATAATACTGACCAGTAGTGTCATACCAGTAGTGCTAAGTACTATATAATACTGACCATTAGTGTTAAGTACTATATAATACTGACCAGTAGTGTTATACCAGTAGTGTTAAGTTCTATATAATACTGACCAGTAGTGTTATACCAGTAGTGTTAAGTACTATCTAGTACTGACCAGTAGTGTTAAGTACTTCTTAATACTGACGAGTAGTGTTTAGTACTATCTAGTACAGATCAGTAGTGTTAAGTACCACTTAATACTGACCAGTAGTGTTAAGTACTATATAATACTGACCAGTAGTGTTAAGTACTATCTAGTATTGACCAGTAGTGTTAAGTACTACTTACACATTTACTGTAACAACACATTTACTTGTAATGCCGTAGGACCTAACTTTGTGTAACAACACATTAACTTGTAATGCCGTAGGACCTAACTTTGTGTAACAACACGTTAACTTGTAATGCCGTAGGACCTAACTTTGTCTAACAACACATTAGATTGTAATGTCGTAGGACCTTACTTTGTGTAACAACACGTTAACTTGTAATGTCGTAAGACCTTACTTTGTCTAACAACACATTAGATTGTAATGTCGTAGGACCTTACTTTGTCTAACAACACGTTTACTTGTAATGTCGTAGGACCTAACTTTGTGTAACAACACGTTAACTTGTAATGTCGTAATACCTTACTTTGTCTAACAACACATTAGATTGTAATGTCGTAGGACCTTACTTTGTCTAACAACACGTTTACTTGTAAGGTCGTAGGACCTAACTTTGTGTAACAACACGTTAACTTGTAATGTCGTAGGACCTAACTTTGTGTAACACCACGTTAACTTGTAATGCCGTAGGACCTAGCTTTGTGTAACAACACGTTAACTTGTAATGTCGTAGGACCTAACTTTGTGTAACAACACATTAACTTGTAATGTCGTAGGACCTAACTTTGTGTAACAACTCATTAACTTGTAATGCCGTAGGACCTTACTTTGTGTAACAACACGTTTACTTGTAATGTCGTAGGACCTAACTTTGTGTAACAACACATTAACTTGTAATGCCGTAGGACCTAATTTTGTGTAACAACACGTTAACTTGTAATGTCGTAGGACCTAACTTTCTGTAACGACACGTTAACTTGTAATGTCGTAGGACCTAACTTTGAGTAACGACACGTTTACTTGTAATGTCGTGGGACCTTACTTTGTGTAACGACACGTTAACTTGTAATGTCGTGGGACCTAACTTTGTCTAACAACACGTTAACTTGTAATGCCGTAGGACCTAACTTTGTGTAACAACACGTTTACTTGTAAAGTTAGGTCCTACGCCATTACAAGTTAACTTGTTGTTACACAAAGTTAGGTCCTACGACATTACTAGTTAACGTGTCGTTACACAAAGTTAGGTCCTACGACATTACAAGTAAACGTGTCGTTACACAAAGTTAGGTCCTACGACATTACAAGTAAACGTGTCGTTACACAAAGTTAGGTCCTACGACATTACAAGTTAACGTGTTGTTACAAAAAGTTAGGTCCTACGACATTACAAGTTAACGTGTTGTTACACAAAATTAGGTCCTACGGCATTACAAGTTAATGTGTTGTTACACAAAGTTAGGTCCTACGACATTACTAGTTAACGTGTCGTTACACAAAGTTAGGTCCTACGACATTACAAGTAAACGTGTCGTTACACAAAGTTAGGTCCTACGACATTACAAGTTACCGTGTCGTTACACAAAGTTAGGTCCTCCGACATTACAAGTTAACGTGTCGTTACACAAAGTTAGGTCCTACGACATTACAAGTAAACGTGTCGTTACACAAAGTTAGGTGCTACGACATTACAAGTTAACGTGTTGTTACACAAAGTTATATCCTACGACATTCCAAGTTAACGTGTTGTTACACAAAGTTAGGTCCTCCGACATTACAAGTTAACGTGTCGTTACACAAAGTAAGGTCGTACGACATTACAAGTAAACGTGTCGTTACACAAAGTTAGGTCCTACGACATTACAAGTTACCGTGTCGTTACACAAAGTTAGGTCCTACGACATTACAAGTTAACGTGTTGTTAGACAAAGTTAGGTCCTACGGCATTACAAGTTAACGTGTTGTTAGACAAAGTTAGGTCCCACGACATTACAAGTTAACGTGTCGTTACACAAAGTTAAGCCCTACGGCATCACAAGTTAACGTGCATTTACCTGAATATCTCATCACATTTATTTAAGAACACATTTATGGCAAGAAAATATTTAGTCACTCTTCGACAGAATGAGAAATACACGTTTAGCTACAGTTGCTTTAGTCGAACGTCATGGCTAGTAAACCTCCATTCGCACTAAATGAAGCCCATTGTTATGACCATTACATGTTTAGTATTAGTTAATTTAACACAACATCATGACGGTATTCGGGTAACGTATAGCTATATACGTACAGACGTTTCAGGCGTGTTAACTGAATTACATTATATTTGTAGGAGTAAAACGAAGTGTGTTTTTGCTGTGATACAATTTGCTGACGTGGTGAGTTATAAAATTTGCAGATGTGGTAAGTTATACAATAAAGATATATTGGAACTATAAAGTCTAATC